CATCCATAGAGAAAGACTGCTGGAAATGGCCACTGCAACTGAAAAATGGAAAATTGCAGGAAAAACATGCTGGAGTGCCTGTCAGGAGATCTAATTCTTCATTTTGAGCCAAAGCCAGATTAACTGCACCTAAGCCATTTTTCAGTTAATATTTTTTACAGGCAACAATTCTATGAATAAAATAGCTAATGTACTTGGCTGTGTTCAATATCTTGTCAGTTTTGATACAGCAGATTAATTCCCTGAAAAGATGCTAGTTATTTCCTGTGGGCAATTACTTTACGATGTAGGTGCCGGTCCTGTAAAGCTGGGCATGTACTTTTTCTGTTCAGGAAAAGTGGGCAATCCTCCCTAGGATTCAAAGAAATAAATTTATTGCACCCGATGTATTCAAACACAGGCAGCATTCACATTGGTATAATCAAACATTTCTTCTGGGTGAACGGACCACATCTATAGACTGAGTCTTTCCCTTCTTGTTTCATATATGGGTTGTTAAGTGTTTCTGCTGTTCAAACCACTGAACTATATATGGATTTTCTTTGAACTTACATATCTTTCATTATCTACCTTGCCCTCTTCAGCTTCCTGGGAACCAGAGCCAGTGCAAATCAGGAAGCCTGCCAGGTAAGTCCAATATCTGAGGGTGATATGAGATTACAGCGCAAATCTAATAAGGATAGATTAGTTTTATTTCCCATTTAGCCACGAGCGTTGCTGGTAGAACAAGATATTAAATCAGACTTCTAAAATTGTACCTGTACTCTGAGCAGCTGGTCAGCTGTGCTGATCTCCAGCCCTGGTACTTTCTCTTGCATCCTGAAAGACCACAGCCAAGACTGTAAGCCAAATGCATCTCTGGTGTATTCAGGTAAATCACTGAAACGAGCCTAAAATGATTTTGATCCAGCCCTCCTGCAAACAGATCTATGATGCTTCTAAACTTGTTTTTTCATGCAGCTCTGTGGTGGGCTTTTTTTTTTTTTTTCTCCTTCTTGACAAGCTCTTTGCTGTACGGTGGCGTCTGTCAGAGAAATACACCGTATGAGTCAGTGCAATTTTAAAGGGAGAAGGGATGGCTGGTAATGGCTGCGGCTGCCTTAGTTTGCATGATGTTTGCTGCTTCGGCTGCTGTGCAGCTGAGCAGGGGGTAGGGGAGGGAAGTGTCCTCTGGAGAGTCTGATTCACAACAAGCCAACTTGGTTCAGTTCTCGAATGAGAGATTTTTTTCCTTATTTGCAATTAAAATGTCAAATAACGTTAGAAGTATTTGATTTGTGCTCGGTCACAGTGCAATTCTCCAGCTTACTGACTTTAAGGAAAGTCTTGCAAGATGCTTCTTTTTTTTCAATCCAATTACAGTAACAGACTGAAATTAATTTACTGAATCATTGATTTTCCAAGGGGCAGAAGGTGGCTTCAGCCTTTTGGGAAACAAGACTTGGGGAACACAAAGCAGCTTCCCTTGTCTATACAAAGGTGTTCTTTTTGGGACACACAGTCTGTAAGTGCCGAGGTGCCACCCATCGACTTGGTCAGTGCTCTGGTGAGGACCTTAAACCCACTGAGCCGCTGCATATTCATTTTGAAAATGGAGGCAATCATGCAAAATAGAAGTTAACTGCTCTGGTAGAGGTCTCAAATGATTTCATTGCCATTAGCAGCATCACTAAGCTTAATCAGCTGTAGAGAAGCTAAAGCATAACCTCATTTCAGGCAGGAGGAAGAGCAGTGTTCAGTTGAGTGGTGCTGGTGGGTGGATAGGTCAGGCGGATGTTCCTGAGAGCCAGTAGGTCACACATCAGTGACTGGAATGGAAACAGTACGTAGGACAAGGGGTCAAACTGGGAAGAGAGCTGGAGGAGGTTGACTACCAACCTGCTCTTGGTTCACAACCAAAACTCCAGTGCAGGCGACGCTCAAGGATGTTTTTCATGATGTGATTGTCCCTCCTCCACTTTGGACAACAAATGTATGATCAGTGACTCTCTTAAATCATTTCTAGTTGAGACATGGTGTTTCACTGAAACAAGAAAAAGCAGTGCAGGTCCTTCCTAATATCGCTTCAGGAGGTGACAGACTCAGCTAGAAACTGAACATCTATTTCACATGGGCAGTGACCCTTATAATCTAACCAAAAGCTAGAAATCTTTCTTAATTTTAGTGGTGGATGAAACTTCATGAACTCTTAGCAAATTCTGAAAGAAGTGTTATCTGTTGAAAACTAACTTGATTCCCCATATTTTTCTTCAGCTACCTGGCCAACAGTGCTCTGGAAATAGATTGGTGTGCAGCACACGTTGCCAGGCTAACAAGTCCTCGCTGGCTCCCGAGGGCAGGTTCACGTTATGCCTTCGAGCACAGAGTGAACCAAAAGGATCTACATCTGAAGTAGCTAAATGTCGTTCTGCTTATGGTCTGAAAAACATCATTATGCAAAAATATCCGAGCAGTTTCCTTTTCTCCAATTCATCTTCTAGCTTCTCCTGTGCTTTGTTTATCCCATCTACCTGCAGGCTGTTAACGCTATTGAGATACCTAGATTTAGGAACGCATTTGCCCTACATTGCCCTTGTATAAGGTGCACTCAGCTCTGAGTTGCCTTCTGGAGGTGACATCCCTCTTTACAGGACCGGAGCAAGGTGTCCTGCTCTGTGAGGCTCCAGGCTAAAGCATCTCAGGTGTCCAAACATGGGCTCCATTGACATATACAATTTCTTCTCTGCAGACTCAGGCTCGACATGAAAAACAGCCTCTGCTTTGTTTTTCTCATTTGTACTTCTCTACCTTTTCTGAAGAGACATGGAACTGGGATGTAGAGGACAATTTAATAGATGATGGATGAGATGGCAGAGATATCTCACTTCCCCATCGTTGCTTCTGACAGGCTGATAGCACGAGAGGTATTTATAGGGCTACCAAGACTCTGTGTGCAAACAAACTCATTAACGTCTGATGCTTCTGAAGTATTCTGTCAAAAGAACCCCACACAAGTTATGGCTTTCAATGTCACTGTAACTTGGCCTTTTATTGCTGTAAATTATTTGGGATTTTTATAATGAAAAGGCAGCTGCTGCCCTCAAATTGTCAATGCTACCGTATCTGAAGTTAACTTTCACACTTTTAATCTTTTCTATTTGATGTATTTCTTCAGTGGTGAATTCTAACCAGTCTGCTGTGTTGAGCTCTGGCCAGGCAGCTGCGTGTCTGTGTGGTGGTATTTGCATACAATAGTATGAAGGAATTTAAATTAATCGGGCAACAAAATACATTAGAGACTGTCTGCAAAGTAAAATGAGCTGTAGAACCCATCTAGATCTACAGCACTTTGGATGTGAACCTAAGCTTTTAGTTTCTGATTGAGTGGTCTGTTGCTTGTCTTGATAACTCCCTCTTTCGTGCAGACCCCAAGATAAAGCCCCACAAGCTGTGTTTATGAGAAGCCCTTTCTCAAGCAGAGTCCTTTTCTCTCTTGCTGGCGTGATTCATGAAAGCTGCTCCAAGCCTTGTCCCTGAAGCTCCTGCCAAAGTGACCAGGGGATGACATGGCCCTTCTGGGAAGCTTCATTAGAAACCTCGACCTTGTTGTCTAACATAAGCAGATGTTTCCCAGTGCTGGCATTTCCTAACAAATTCCTTTTTAAAGCTGTGGGTGCCATTACATTTTGTTACACAGTTATTAATCTAGTTAGAAACATTTTCTTACAAAATGTGGAGGGTGAGGTGTACAAGTGAAAAGCCTGAGCTGACGCTGTGCAAAACAGGGGGAAAGCACCGTTTGTGCTGTAGCTGGAAAAGAGAGTGACCAGAGAAAGCAGAGCTGGTCTCGCGTGTGCCTTCCATTTCGCTTTGAAAATAATGACTCTTTGGAGTCTTAAAATTTTTTGGAAACGTCTGACTGGCTTTCACACAGTGTTTTTTTGTTGGTGTATAGTTGCTGGGTCAATGTGCTTTATGTTTGTCTTGTTAGTTGGTTGTGCTTTTTATGCTGCACTTTTTCAGTAACTTGCGCTTTGCACAACGCCATGTTCAACCGCTTACACTGACGGACCATCGTTGATCAGAAATGGCATTAAATGGGAGCAGAGGACCACAGGGACCCGTGGTTGGAAGGGTAGACAAGGTGAGGGATGTGATTCTCTGCAGTTTATCCCTAGCATAATGTCCTCTTTCTCTGAAACATGACCCATAAGTTAGGCTTTCTAATTAGGAAAAACTGCTGCCAGTTTTTGCAGTCCCTTTCTTATATCACAGAAATGGAGAGTCAGAGATGCGTACTCCCTGTGATCCTCCTGCTTTCCCAAAAAGCCTCATCAGAAAGGCTTTGTAAACACAGAGCAGTCACGCAGAGTTTTTTCCCACAGACAGAAGAAGAGAGGATTTAAGGGCTGTAGTCCTTGCCCATCCATTCATTTTGACTCGTAGTCCTGGGCGAGGCTGTCCACAAGCAAGTTCCCTGCTTACAAAGTGAGGAAAGCGATATTTACCAGTGGGATGAGCAAAAGGCATAATTAAAGAGCCAGCGTACTGCTGGATTTGGCCCCAAAATGTCTGCAGGCTGTAATGGCAAATGAAAGGTTTGTGGAAAGGGATGTCTTGAATTCTGCTGGCGTCGGCACCAGGAGCAGCAGTGGAGCTGGGGAAGGCAATGGAGCATTGCTGGTGCCAGGGCAGGGCAGGGCCAGGGCAGGGAGGCAGCCCGGGCTGAGCACTTTCCCAGTTGTCAGTGAGGGAGAAGGCATGAGAAGTCCTTCCAGATCTTTAAACGCCTTTCAGCTGGAAAAATTGCTGATGAGAGGGAAGCGCATATGCCATGCCATTCTGCTTAAACAGCCTGGCTGAAAAAGGGGCTGCGTTATGTCAAACACAGCGGGCGGACATGCGCGTGTGGCCATGAGAGAGGAGGAGGAGGAGGAAGCAGAGTGAGATACTCCCTTCCCCTCTCCTCCCCATGCAGAAGAGCCAGTGCTGCCAGCAGGAGAGAGACACGAGAGCTAAGGATGGACAGAAGGAGGAAGCGGGGGGTCACTGGAAAAGCCCAGTGGGGATCCCACCACCACCTCAGTGCCCTGTCCACTGCCAAGCTGACCGTTCCCCCCACTCGTCCACCCCTCCGTGGGGTGCTGTGGCCGAAGTCGCCTGCCAGCCACGGAGTCATTAGTACGGTTTTCAAGGAACTTGAAAATGAAAACACAATGACAAAGTGGCAGTTTCTGTGCCAAGCGAACCTGAAAGGTTAGTTTACTCTTTAATGAAATTCCTGCTTCAAAGTCTCCATCTCTTTTTCACTGGGGAGCAGTGCTTTCTTTAAGCAATGTTTAGAGGACACCAGTCTGCAAGGGTAATCATCCTCGCCTCTGGCTGCAAGAGCTCCCACACTAACATTTCTGAAAAGGCTCTCTTTGTGAATAATTGAATTTGTCTCTGGAGCTCCAGATTTCTTTTTTTCTGTGGGGCTGACTGCAGATCTGCTTCTTCCTTAGGTGCAGCTTACTGTAATTGAGGTAGAAGAATTGTATTGTGGTTGAGGGTTTTGTGAGCATGACGCGTAATAAGGATGATTGCCACAGAAAGAGTCATGTGTAGCGCTCAAAATGCCTCCTCCAGTGGTGAACGGGTCTGCGGAAAATAATGACAGGACTCCCCACTCCCACCCAAGGAGAAGAAAACTAATGTCACAAGAGGCAGCAGAGACGTCCTTGCGCAGTGGGCAGCGCCCCGCGCTACAGTGAGCTGCCAGGGCACCCTCCCAGGGGCTGCTCAGATCCCATCCCGTCCCACCAGCGCTGCCACCTCCGAGGACACAGGGACCCACAAGGACCAGTCAGGCCAACTGCTTGTCCAGCCCAAACTAAAACGTTGTGATTGACATATCGCCTAACAACATGTGTCTCTTGCCTGGGCAGAGCTTCTTCTCCATTAAACCTCCCTTCTTTTCCATTAAACCTCCCAGCTTTGCAGTGGTTTCTGGGTCTCTCCGGAAAGGCACATGTAGCGTGATGGAAAGACCTGTGCATCCCAACTCTGAGAAAAACATCCCTGCAGCTGTCTCACCAAGGAAAAGCCCGTTACAGACATGTCCTCCTCCCAGCTACCAGTGAGGGCCACTGCCCCGGGCATGTGTCAGTACCTTCTCTCATCCCCCACCATCCGTAACCCGGTGTGTAACATCCCACAGTGGCGCCTACCAAGCTGCCAGTGAGTAACTGCAGGAAAGCGGTGGTGGGGGAGGAACCTCTCGTAATCTTGCACCACTGTGAGGGAGACCTGGTGGCCTGCTCCAGGGAAGAACTGGCTCCCTGCTGGTAGGCTGAGATAAGTGGTGTGTCTCAGAAGTAGTTTTTGATATCGTATGCATAGGCAGGCCTCAGCTGTTCACGCGCATCAATGTCAGCAGCAAGGTGAATCACTATTTCAGACTTCGGGCTTAAGATAGGAATCGGGGCAAAACACAGCTCTGAAGTGAACAAAAATCCATCGAGCTGGGAGGTTTCTTTCTTGCCTGTCTTTCATCACCAAGCTCAGCAACAACGCTGGGTGGCTGCATTCAGCCAACACAATGCGACACGGCAGCAGTGTATTTTTAGGATGTTATTTTAGGGGGGGAAGCAAATTCTAAAGGCAAGACATAGCCATCTAGTAACTCAAACAAGCCGCTCAGGGATTTCTGTAGCTATTGAACATACCACACGGCTCTTGGGCTGTCTTGTTGAATTGTGATGCGTGTTTCAGATCAACAAAAAGGCTCATTTGAGATTTTTTTTTCTCCTGTGTTACACAAAATACATTCTCTCATGGTACAAAGCATGAACTGATCAGCAGGAGAAGCTAATGTAACTACACTCATGAACGAAAGCCCAAATTCTAGATTGTAGTCCAATTTTGTTGGACTTTAGTTTCTGCAGATAATCTCTCAGTTCTCTGTGGTCTCTGCTCTGAACTGGAAATCAGAATACCTACCTTTTTAATATTTTTTACTCTCTTCTGCGGCTGTCAATTACAATGGCTTGAATATTCTTTTCATCCTCAACTTCAAGACTTCTTGATCCTCTGAGAGAGATCTTTCTCTGTCAGGCTTCTGAGTGACAAGCAGAGATTTCATCCCCAGAGAATATTCCCTTAGCAGTAACCCGGGCATCCAGTGCATTTACCACGACTGCTTTTAGTGCGTTTCCTCAGGCAGGGGAGCAATGCAAACAAAAAAGGAACTGTGCAGCAGCATTTATCCTCCAAGATATATATGGAGGCCTGACGGTAGCCTGGCCAGCACTATTAGCTGTTCCAGCTGGAGACCTTAGCCTGCTTAAACGTGCTACCAAGAGGTTGCATATGCACAAATCAGGGAAGTGGTACAGATGTTGTTTGCATCTGGTAGTGCATAAAATAGGGAAATGACCAGTGAGGTCTCTTTTTTTTAACTTGAACTCTATGCCTTGCATGCTGGAGCTATGGGGAACAACACGGTCAGCAAAAGTAGACAGGAAGAAAATGGAAAACAGTTGGAAAGAAAATTTCAGATGGTGGCTGGCAGTTCCCATATGCCTTGCCTGAGCAACAGAGAGGAGTAACATAAAAAAGAGGAGCACCATAAAAAAGAGGAGCCAACAAAGGCACCCAGGCCCTCTTAGAAATTGTTTTGGAAAAGAGTGTCAGGACGTGGCTCACCCAAGGATGGACCAACCACCCAAGGGAGAGCACTGCTGGTGGGCAGAGGTGCCTGTTTAAGGGACTGTGCCATCCAGATCACTTGTTTTCTCTGCCCTGGCAGGTGGACTGTAATCGGCCCTCTCCCAAAGTCCAAAGGGTGGGTTGTCCTCAGGGACAACCAGCTTCCTGCCCAGCTGCAATTCCAAACACCCATCACACATCGGGAAGAGCCAGCAGATAACGTATGTCCACGCTGTGTGCATTAGGTGTCCTGCCCTGCTCTTTGGGTTTGAGAAAACAAGTGCGATAAGCAAGAACTCAAATCTGGTTCTTTCTGAAAAGCCGCCAACAGCAGGTTGGATTTGCATGAAACTTGCCTGCAATGAGATGCTTTGCTGACAGGTGTATGTCTAGTTTATGGAAACACAGTGTGCTTCGAGGACAGTTCAGGAGGATTTACAGGTGACCTGCAATAAAGACAGGTCACAGGACTGGCAGGAACCACGTGCTTCTGACTGAGGGTGCTGCCATCACCAAAGCTACCAGCTGAAGGCAGTGAGGTGCAGAGCTTAACTGCACCAAGTGATGTTGTCCCGTGTGATGCTGTAATTCTTCATCCTGCAGAAAATAATTAATGGTCTCCTTCTCAGGGGGGCAAAAAAAAAAAGGTGAATCTGGAAAACTCTCCATTCACTCTGTTTTAATTTAGGAGGATTGGTTTTGTTATTTTGCTGTTTTTTTAAAGATAGTGAGTGTAGAGAGTCTGGAAATAGTATATTTGAATTATGTTGGACTAACGTGGGAAGAAAATGAAGCAGGGGAAAAAAAAGTCAACTTTTGCATGCTATGTTCTGTATATTCAACCTTAGACACCTGACAAGTTTTTGAGAGAGTGTAAACCAGAAAACTGCTTACTCTGAGTTTATCTGAAAAGACAGAGGGGAAAAAAAGAAAAATTATCTTCAACACAGGCTCACAGTACAGGTAGTGTTTTCAACATAACCGTTTCACAAGATGTACTAATTTTGTCGCTCTGGCAGGAAACTGAGGCTTTTGCATTTAATGAAGCATTTCTTTGAAGTCACGCTAAAACGACAAGCGTGACTGTGTTGCACATCTGCCCGTCAGCACAGGGCAGACCTTCTCGACTTCCTTTTCCGAGACGCTGCCGGGAGCAGGCCAAGGGAGCTACGTGCTTACCAAAACTTCACCAAGTGAAGATGGAAAAAAGGTGGCTCTTCTCCCTCTTTTATTTACTCTCGGTGCCCAGCGTGGCAGGTAAGCGTGGCAGCGGGACGCCTCAGCTCAGTTTACGATGGAGGATGATAAGGGGCAGGGTGGCACGTGCGGGCTGGGCTTAGTGTGTCTCACTAGAACAAGCTGTAGCTATGGGTAATGATTTTCTCTTTCCTGACAGCTTTCTAATAACTCTATTTATAATGTGCAGCTAGTAAGGAGCAAATGGCTTGTGCTGACTAGCACATTGGTTTGTTCAAAATGTCTAACCCCTTTTCACCAGAATAATTACTGAGATGAGCTCACTGGTATTCAGGGCAACATGTACTTGTCTCCAATGGGCAAAAAAGAAAACTGTTTTCCAAGAGGAAATGAAAAATATCTCTCTCTCTCAAACACACACACATACCTGTGTATGCAGAGAGAGGAAGAGTTAAAACACTGAAAGACAAGGATAAATCGTAAAGCTGCAACACCTTAAAAGATTCTTTCCTGCCTCTTCCTCATCAAGCCCTACGTGTTGTGTTGAGGGCTTCAGAAACAAGTTTGTCATTGGGAGTAAAACTTTCAGAAAAGTTGGGTAAGGAGAACTGCATCCCCATTAGAGTCTAAACCAAAAATGATCTGAGGAAAATCAAGAAGAAGCCTGATGCTCACAACCTCCTTCACTGACCCCATCCCCCAACATGCTGACCATGCTGAATGTGGGAGTATCTATTACCAGCTAGGAAGAAGAATTTTGTAGAATACACCTTCTTCTATTTAAGAAAGGAGAAAGCTCATGTATTTAACTGGCATGGTAAGTTGCATCGCAAAATCTGGCATAGGCTGTTCCTAATTTCTACATCACTGAGGCAACCTGGATTTTAAAAGAGAAGGAAATATTTCATACACATTTCTGTAGAAAATAAAAGTTCTCAAATGCAAGGAAAGAATTAGAAGCTTCAAGACATACATGAAAGCAATACTATTTAGGGAAAAATAGGACTGTTGGTGTTTTTCCTCTGAGGATGAAATCCTCACTGAAGTCACTCAAAGGTGAAAATGGATACCTCCATGCCATTTGTGGAGATCGGACATCTAAATGTCTGGGAGTCAAATTTAAAATGGAGCACAAGCATGGCCTACTGGACAGCATTTGATTTCGAAAAATAAAGTTGGCAGAAAATGAGACTATACTGAGATGCTAACAAAAAGTTAAGAACGCTTTTGAGCAAAAGGGTTTCAGTTAAAATAACCCAAAGTGCTAGGCTGCTAACAACACAAATTACAATGTTCTCTCTACAATTGAAACTTTTTCATCTTAATATAAAATATTCAAGTAATTCTTGGTAGACATTCTTTACATGGTCCTTTGACCTAATACAGCGTCAGTATGAAATGAGAGATACCTTGCTAGATGTTCCTTGCCTGCTAGTCTGATACCAAGATTGCTAATCACTTTTTACTTAACTTTTACTGATGCAAAACTCGCAGTGAAATCAGTAAGCATTTGCTATAATAAGCTCCTTAGGCTGACAAAAATAGTTTTCAGTAATTTTTCTCCCAGCACTTGTCACTCAGGCTTCTTCTTATTTACCCTCTTAAGTCATCCCATCTCTGGGAAGTCGATCAAAAAATGAACAGAGAACACAGCTATAAAAACCAGGGATTAATGTTGGCAATGGCCATTCAGTAGCTTTGCTCTCCATGCACCTAGTATCTACATGTTCATGTCACACTTCAGCGGTTAGGTACCAAATCTCAGCGGTACCAGCTCTGCGGGGATGTGGGACTCTGCCCTTCTTCCCTGTCAAACCAGAGCTGCGGTTGTGTTGGGTCCCCGTCTTGCTGCAGACAGAGCTGGCGGATTGCGGAGCACGCCGGTCCCCCTGCAAGCACCGCCGAGGCTGCCTGGCCCCTGGCAGGGCATCCCCTGGCTCAGGCACCCTGGAGCCCTGTACCACGTGGCAGAGCAGGTGCCAAAGCAAAGAAATCAGTACTTGCCTTTCTCAAGCAAAGAAGGTGAGCAGTGTGCACCTGCTGCCGTGAGGAGCCAGCGGTACAGCTGCTGGGACTGCGGGGCAAGTTCCCAAAGCAAATTTACAGTGATACACAGGGAGGATAAAAGCTAATGGAGACGTTAGGCGACATGTCTCTACCTAAGAACATCTGCACAAACTCATTTTTTCTGGGGACCTGCACCCCCTCTTAAAAAAGGGCCTTTTTGTGTATGGCTCTGTGTGTGGGACTGATTTCTTGTCTCACTGTGACTCCCCCATCCATAAATTCTTCATCTCCTTGAGCTTGTCAGTGCTCTGCATACAGAGATTTGGGGACTGCCTGACTCTTGTTCACAGGAGGGAGAAAGGGAGAGAAATCAATTTTACTACAGCAGCAGCAAAACCAAGCAGTATGGGCTCCTGTTGAAAGCCCCTTCATTTCACCTACCCGTTACTCCTGCATATGGCACACTAAGGACTGCCAACATGCTTTATGAAATTAATTCAGGAAGAAACCATACATACTGGGGCAGCTCACTCTGACACTGAAATGGACACTCGTTTAGGCCATGCAGGAGCTGTTTAATAATGTAGAGGTAAAAGAACAGCTTTCTCTATCAAAGCAGCGAAGGCAATGGCACGGGGCAGGGGGAACGGTGCAGGGCAGAATTAGCCAGCAGGGATAACTCATTTGTTCTTACAAAAAGAGCTGGGGATATAACTGGGCTCAGCTTCTGCTTTATTTATATGGCTTGAAAGATTTCCATTTTCACAGAGATCCTCAGAGGTCCCATTTCTCTCCTGCGAGTGTGATGGGAGCTCTCTGCCCTCTTCCAGACAAGCGAGTGTTTGCTCTCCCAGTTCTCTCTCCACAGTCTGTAGTGGTGGAGATCTACTGCAAATCTCCTCGCTGGAAAGCCTGTTGTTACAGTTGTAGGGTTTCCATGGCTGTCTGTGGCTAAGGCACCAAATCATGTCAATGATGGCTTAGGAGAAAGCTTTGTTTAAACATTACTTGCACTGAAAATGGTCCCATTTGTTTTCAAGGCCAACCTCAAGACGTCATTACGCAAACAGAAGTGGTCCACGCTTTACCAGGTACTGACGTGACTCTGGTGTGCAACCTCCCAAAAGCACACAGCACTCACATAATACAGACACAGTGGTCCAAGACTGATTACACCAGGATAGCTGTTTATCACCCCGCTTATGGCACCCATTACTTCACTTTTCCTGAGGCTTCTTACAACTTTTCGGTGTCCTTCAGCACAAGGAAGTGCTGCAGCTGGGATGTTACAGAGGCTTTGTGTTCCCCCAATCCAAACACCACGTCTGAATGCAATCAGTGGGCTCTGCATCTGAAAAACGTTACCGTCTCCCTTGGCGGACAGTACGAGTGCAGTTTTGCTACTTACCCGTATGGGACAAAGGCTGCGAAAATTCAACTTATTGTCAAGGCAGAAGGTAAGTGATTACGAATGAGATGTTGCTTTTTTGTAACAGAGATGCAGGGGTGGGAAGCGGAATATCAGGATAGATGGACATTTCTTGGTTGGTGATGGTGACATGTTTGGAGTTTGCAATGGTGCCACTAAATGATACTGCCTGCACAGTTTCCTATTTACCAGGCACTCTTTAGCTGTTATTATCCAGGTCGTGATTAGTAAACTTCATTTGTTTGGAGGACCACAAAGTTAGATAGGAAGGCAAAAAAGGTGGCGAGATGGGCAGTTTCCACATCTTAGTTTTGGAGAAACAGGCTGGGGACAAGACTGGACAAGTGGCTCAGGATATGATGGGACCGAGGATGCTGGATATCCAAACCACGTTGCACTACTACTTCTATGGGCGTGCGGCACTGGGCACCAGAAGGAGAAAACACCCTTTCCTGGTTGAGGCTGAGGGCCAGCATCTGCAGGGGGTTCTGGGTGCTAGCTCAATGGAGGGGTGTGTGTCCCCACCGTCAAAAGCACACTGTAGCAAAGTGGAGGATTGATTAGGACAATCACAGGAATAGACTTGACTGCTTCAGTCAGCCAAAAGGAAGCTGGAAAGCAGCATAACTGTTCTTGGTAAGTAAGCCTCAGGAGAGAGTGTGGATTCCAGGGAGGATATTTAAATTATCCTGGCAAAGAAACAAATGGGTTTAAAAAGGACGTGAACAGATTTGACTACGAATTAAACAACAGTGGCAACCATTAGTGAGGCAACTTTGGGAACAGCTGTTTAATGCCAGCAGTGAGGGCAGAAGTCCAAACTGCCGTGAAGATGGAGCTAGGCGGGGATGTTGGACAAGCCTGTTATTGTGCTCACAGGGGACTGGCTTTGATGACCCCAGAAACCCTTTCCTGGCCCAGGTTTCTGTTAACAAGCCAAGAAGGATTAAAGTAAAAGCAACAAACCTGGCACAGTTTCAGTTCAGAGCTGCAAAGCCAACATGTTGGCTCTGCCTCTGTAGAGGCAGCACATGTTCAGGGGTCAGGAGCAGGGTGGGTGCAGGTGACAACAGGGGCAGCAGGGAGCAGCTGCTCTTTCACCGCCTCTTTGTCCTGCACAGTGAGGCCAAACTGGTGGGAGGAGGGACATCAGTCCCTGTGCTGGATCACATTTGTCCTGCAGCAGGAGGAAGTCTTGTGCAAGCCTCATATCCAGGAATGTTTAACCCAAGGTGCCGCCTCGTTGCCTGATGGCCCCTGCACGGCTGTGGCTCCAGGCGGTCTGGTGCTGTTATCACGGAGGCAGACCTCAGGGGAAGCACCTTCCTGCCCTGATGAACTTACAAAGGCAAAGTTAGGGCCAGCCTCCCTGCGCAACCCGTAGAGGATGGGCGAGTTTAAACAGTGCAGGCTGGATAACTGCGTCAAGGAGCGAGCTGCCGCTTTACCTGCTGTACAGGGGTGTGCTCCCTAGGCTCCCCTTCGGGAATCTTCCTGCACTTCGCAGGGCAGAGGGGCTGGATCGAGCAGACAGCAGTGAGTTACAAACAGTGCTGGTAACCATGTGAAACCCTCCCACGCTTCTGTTCTTCATGCGATTTTTCTCTGTTTCTTCCTTAATACAGTCATAGTGCTGATCAGGCATTGCTCCTTTTCTCTTGCTGGTGCCCTCGGTTGATACCAACATGTTCAGCGACATTATTGCTGTCAACATGTTAAACGTGGGCAGTTTTTGTTCATATCAGCATCATTGTGGCTTTTTTCATCAAGTGCATGACGCTTGCTAGAGAGAACTAAAAAATTCAATTTGCAACATACCTCTTGCAGATTTGTATTTTAAGGTAACCAGATCTTTTGCAACCAACTATTTCGCCTTTAAAGAAGGCAAAAGACCTTAATCCAGCCTATGAGTGAGATGGAGAAGGGTGCTAGTCATTAATTAAGCACAGCTCCAAACTACATCGAAGTGAAGTGAATCCAGATGGATTCAACTTCTAGATACCGCAAAAAGCCCGCAGAGCAGCAAGCCCACATAGGTCTGACAAACACGGAGGACCTTAGCCAACAGGCTGTTAATGGAGATGGGAATCAAAGGCAGAGGGAAAATAAGCAGCTGGGGCACGTGGCTGTGAGAAGAGGCAGAGACTGTTTGCAGGCTAAGCTCCTGGGGTGACTACTCATCTTTGTACTTCTCATATCTTGCATGGCTCTTTTGCATGGTGGCTTGTCCCAGCAAAGTCTCCTGTGCAGTTTTCCTCCTGGGGAAGCTATAGATTTGCTTCCTTTGCCCTTTCTTTATCCTTTCCACAGTATCCAGCCCCTTCAGGGCTTGTGCACTCTGTGTCTCACTGTGATAGCTGGCTCCTCAGCTGCTTTGCTATGATGGAGAGCAGAGATAAGCTGCTTCTGCCCCTGGGTCTCCTGAGCACCCCTCTGGGTGCTACCTTTCTTGGTGGCCCTGTGGCACAGGCTGCGTGCTGGCACTGTCACTCCGTTCTTGGGCACAAGACAGAAAAGAAGTCACAGTCACCAGAAAGTCCCCGCTGCCAAATGATGTAACGGTCTGGGACTGCTCAATATTGTCCCACCTCCCCGGATAAAAAATAGATTAAATATATATCTATTTGTCCCTTCGTCCTGGCCACGTTCCCCCCAGCCTGTTGTGCTCCTGCACACTGGCAAGAACACAGGAAGCTGAAAAGTCCTTGAAGTCTCAGTGCCAAATATAAACACCAGTGTGCTGTCAACATTCTTCTCATAATGAATCCCAGGCTGAAACCAAAACACAGAGCTCTCCTACTCTGTCCCAGCTGAAAACAGGACAGGTAGGAGATGCTG